TAAAACAACAACAAAGAAAATATATAAAAAAAACAACCAAGCAAGCATCTTTAGCTAATCTGATTAATTTGTGAAAAACTAGAATTTATAATTTCCAGTCACACATCTTTCCAGGACAGTGTATAGTTGAAATAATCCTCTACCCCTCCCTCCCACAAGAAGCTTATTCTTTTGACGAAAAAGAATCCAGCAGGGTAGTAAATTTCCTACTCAGTTATTTACTAAATAGTTTTAAGTGTTATTGTAGACTTCCAAGTCTTCAAGGTTTACGGATTCATTTCCCCCCAGAATGTTTCTAATTTAGGAATAATGACCTGACAAAGGTAGATGAAATTGCCTTTTAAAAAAGGAGCTAATTTTATAATCTTTTAATACTACTTATAATTTTAACTACTATCTTGGTACAAAATATTTAACACCACAAAGTTAGATCTTGAGTCTGTTAAAGTCATCTAATTAAATGAAGATGCTAAGTAGAGAAAAATGATATACATTAAGAGAAGACAGCCAAATGTTCTATACTGCCACACCTGCTCAAAACGTATGTTTAATTTAGCAAATGCAAATAAGAAGTTTCTAATACTTTGCCATGTAAGTCACTGTCATTAAGTACATCACTGATAAATTAAGTGTCAAAACCAGAACTCTTCAGTTATCTCAAGAAATCATCTTTTTTAAACTTACAGATAAAATTCCCTGGTCATAAAGTCGTGCTTTTCCAAGTATTTAGACTATGCCCTATGCATGCAGGAGAAACATCACTGGGCTTGGAGTCAGGTGATGGAGGGGTTGTGAGCATAAAATACATAGGTCGAAGATGTAGTCTTGGAAAAACTACCGGGGACCTCAGTAAATTACATTTCCTCAACTGTAAAATGAAGACCAAATTATCTAACATTTAAATAACGAAGAACAGTTTTCAGAGTGTTTTAACATGCTTGAGAATGAGCTTTGTAAGAGCCCTGATAGGTAGTCAGGTGTCAGTGCCCCATCTCACAGCTGGAGATTTCTTAGAACTGCTGGAAAGATCACAGGAGGCATTATATTCGGAAAGACTTAAAAAAAAAAAAATCTGCAAGCTATCAATACAACTGTTAAGATATGAGCAGGAAGCCCCAAACGTCTTGTGTTCTGCAAGACGCTTCTTAAAGTGTGAAAATGACAATCTGCACTATCTGCAGAAAAGGGTTATTTTTAAAGTTAAAAATAAAAACGAGAAGGAACTAAAAAAATAAAAGCGAGCAAATGAAAAAGTTACCTGCTTTCTCAAAACACGTTGAGATGTGTTTAAGTAAAGCACCTACATAATCATCGAAAATTCTACGACTCACCAAGACAGCTGAGGCTATTTCCCCCTTTATTTCTCTAATAAAACACGAACTAGTTGTTATTCCAAGGCAACTATCAGTTGGCCACAACAAGCACGTGCGTTTTTTAAAAGTTCCAATTTTAACAAATGTGACAACTCCCCAGGATCCACGGAGATTTCAAGGGCACCAGCAAGAGGTCTGGAAAGCAGTAAAAAAGCCCCTCCTGCCCGACCCCCTGGCAAAGTGACAGCCGAGACGACCCCTTTCCCAACCACACTTGGGGGGAAGCTGAGAGGCAGATTTAGTAGCTCTAGGCATGTCAAGCAACACCCGAACCCCAAATTCCCTCTTGCCCCCACCTCTCAGACACCAGCGAAGTAGGAGGAGCAGGCCTCCGGGCGGCAGACGTCCACCCAGCGTGTGTGGAGGCGGGGATCGGAGACGCTCCGCACCCGGCCTGCAAAGGTCCCTCCGCCCCCGCTGCGAGCCAAGAGCGCCCCCGCCGCGAGGCAGGCACGAAGCGACGGGCTCGGAACTTGGTCGAGAGGTTCTCAGGCCGGGCCCAGTGAGCGCCCTCCCAACCCATTAGAACCCCAAGTCCCCTTCTTACAGGGCTTCTTGGCATCCTTGATCTTCATGGCGTCGGCTTGCGGGGCAAAAGAGCAGCCTCCCGTAGGATGCAAGAAAGGCAGTGGCAACAACTCAGACTCCGGGAGGTCGCCGGACCGCGACTTAAGACCCGGCCGGTTCCTCCCCTCAGGCCAGGCGGGGCGGGCCTAGGGCGGGGCGGCGGCGCTTTAGGCGACGCCCGGCCCAGGGGGAGGCCCCCACCCCCGTGAGGGGTGGCCGGGACCGAGCGAGCTGGGGAAGGCCGGCGGCCTCGCCGCTCGGGGCCCCCCCCACAGCTGCTCCAGACAAAAGGCCCGATGCCCGGAGCCGCCGCCGCCGCACTGAGAAATATCCCGCCCAGGCTGAGCGCCCACGTGACCCAAGCCCCGCTTGCTCGGTTCGCCGCCGGCTGCTGGGAATTGTAGTCGTCCAAGCCGTGAGGCCCCGCTCTTTGGCGGCAACAGCGTAAATGGACTACAAAACCCAGGATGCACCGCGGCGGCCTCTTAAGGGCCCCTCGGTTTCCCGAGATCGCCTCAGCGTGGTCCTAGAGAGAAGTGGGCGGAGCCTTAGTCACGCCAGCCAGAAGGCGGCCAGTGGTAATTGAGGTGGGCGGGCAGGGGAACAGCCTTGGCTTCGGCTGGCGGTGGAGGAGACGAAGAGGAAGGGAACAATTTTCAAGTACTGTGATGGCTGTGCTATCAGTAGCAGACTTCCTTCTGAGCGGTCTGGTTGTTGTGCCATGGAAAGTGCCGAACCGAGGCCTCTAGAGTCATCCCTTTTCATTCCCTTATTAAATATATTTGTGAATTAAAGTAACTCTCATCCTTGATAAAAACACCTGCATTGTTCACTTTGGCATCATCATAATAATGATAATAACGAGACCGACCCAAAACAACTCACCGTCATGGAGTCGGAACCCGTTAGCGAATTTGCAAAGGCTGTCAATCGCACGGGAAGAGATTGCCCATCTTTCTCGGAATGGGCTGGTGAATTCGAACTGTGTGGCTTTGAGTTGGCAGCGTAACTCCTTGTTATTAGAGGCTGTGGAGTTGAGTATGACCCATAGTAACCTTATCATCAACTGATCAGAACTCTGTCGTACCCTGTGCCATTCTCACATCTCGGACGTATGCGAGCCCATTATCAACTAGATAACACCCTTAACCACTAGATAGTATTTATTGTATGTCATGGGCTAGGCCCTCTACTAAAAACTTCTTATAAGTTCAGCAACTTTCTGAATCGTGGACATACAATATTCTTACTCACTTTGAAGACTGGGCAGGACTGGAGAGGTTAAATCACTTGCTATCTACTCTTTCCTACTGGTACGTGTGGCCCTCTGAGACCTTCTTACCCACTCCTTTTTCTCTTGCTCTCCTTGTTTCAAAGGGGAACACTGACTCCTCAGAGAAGAGAACGGAATGCTTCACTTCTCACCTTGAAGACAGAACACTGTGTCCGCGTAACATTGTAGACTTAAAGTGGGAAGGAACAACATTGGAGATCATTTGCCTTTCCCTCCACGTCTGTCCTCAGTTAGCTGGCCAGAAATTCAGTGACTGGCAATGGATGGTTTGAAAACAAGCAGAGTTGAGAATTGGTTAAAAAAAAAATTCAGAAATCATTATTGCCTCTTATTCTTAAGCTGTTACGTTGTGTGCCTTGGAGTCAACTATGACTCATAGCAACCCTATGAACAATGGCTCTGAACTTACACCTATTTTGAGCCAACCTTACTATTGCCACAGTCACTATGTTAATCCATCTCCTCCAAGGATTGGTCTCTCCTAGCGACAAGTCTAAAGTACGTGAGAAAGAGCTTCAAAATCCTTGCTTCCAAGAAACTAGGTCGTTTCACCTTCCCCAGGACAGACCTGCTAGTGGAGGAGTGTTGTTGTTATGTGCTGTCGAGTCGTTTGCGACTCATAGTGACCCTATGTACAACAGCCCTAAACCGTGCTCTATCCCGTGCCAATCTCTGGCACCCCCATCCCGATTGCCCCAGTCACTGAATCAATCCACCTCATAGAGGGTCTTCCCCTCCTGCGCTGTCCCTTTACTCTACCCAGCATGATGTCCCTCTCTAAAGACCTGTCTCTCCTTACAACATGTCCAAAGTATGTCAGGCGAAGCCACAGAATCCGTGCCTCCAAGGAGCAGCCTGGTTTAACCCTCTCTAGGATGAATCTGTTTTCTTCGCAGTCCATGGTACATTCAATACTCTTCTCCAGCACCACAGTTCAAAGGCGTCAATTCTCCTTCTATCCTCCCTAGTCATTGTCCAACTCTCTGACGCATAACAAGTGATTGCAAAAACCGTGGCCTGTATCAGGCGCACCTTAGTCTCCAGAGAGACACCGTTGCTCTTGAGTACTTTAGTGAGGTCCCTAACCGCAGACTTTCCCATCGCAATACGTTTTTTGATTTCCTGGCTACTGGTGCCAAGAGTGTTGACCGTGGAGCCGAGCAAATTGAAGTGGTGAACACTCTCAATCTCTTCGCCATCCATCCTGATGCTACCGATTGGTCTGGTGGTGAGAATTTTTGTCTTCTTGACATTGAGCCTCAGTCCATACTGAAGGCTGCAGTCCTTGACCCTCTGCAGTAAGTGTATGAGGTCCTCCTCAGTTTCAGCGAGCAAAGTTGTGTCATCTGTATAACGCAGATTGTTGATAGATCGTCCACCAATCCTAACGCCACGCTTCTCCTCATAGAGCCCAGCCTCTCAGATAATCTGCTCTGCACGCAGGTTGAAAAGGTATGGAGATAGGACACATCCTTGGCGTACACCCTTCCCAATTTTGAACCATGCAGTGTTGCCCTGCTCTGTTCTGATGACTGCCTCTTGGTCCAAGTATAGGTTTTGCATTAGCACGATTAAATGTTCTGGGATTCCCATTCTTCTCAGAGTCAGCCACAGTTTGTTATGATCCACACAGTCAAATGCCTTTGCATAATCAATGAAACACAGATAGACATTCTTCTGGTATTCTCTGCTTTCAGCTAAGATCCATCTAACATCAGCTACAATATCCCTAGGACCACGACCCCTTCTAAACCCAGCCTGGACTTCTGGCAGTTCTCTGCTGATGTACTGTTCCAGTCGTTTTTGAGGTATGATTCTCGCTTTGGGTGCGAGAGGTCCCGGGTTCAAATCCCGGACGCCCCAGTGGACGGTAGTTTGTATAAATGGCCCCAAATGGCCAGAACTAAGTAAATCTTAGGTTTGATGGATAGGCAACATCGTGATGAATGCAGAAAGATTGAAACTGCTAATGACTTCATCTTACTAGGATCCATAATCAATATACTTCATATTAGCAGTCTGGAGATCAGGAGACATTGCACCGGGAATGTCTGTAGTCAGGAATCTCTCCAGATTATTGAGGAGTAATGATAAAGGTTTGAGGACTAAGGAGCACTTAATTCAGGCCATGGTCTTTTCAGTCACTTGCTATTTATCTGAGAGCTGGGTAATGACTTTGGATGGCAGAAAAAAAATTGATGCCTTTGAATTGTGGTGTTGGAGAAGAGTATTAAAGATCTCATGGACTGCCAAAAGAACAAACAGGTATGTCTCAGAAAAGGTAAAAAAAGAAAAAAAAGAAAATATGCAGCCAGAGTGCTCCTTGGAGGCAAAAATGATGGCGCTTCATCTCACATACTCTGGGCATATTGCTGGGAGAGGTTATTCCTTGGAGAGGGACATCATGCTTGGGAAGATAGAGGAGCAGCAGAAAAGAGGAAGACTCAAATGGGTGGGCTGACATGGTGACTATGGTAATGGGCTTGTGTATGTCTGAAAGTATGGTGATGGCACAGGATTGGAAAATGTTCAGATCTGTTGGGTTGCTATAAGTGGTACTTGACTCAGTGGCACCTAACAACAGCAAAGCAAATCTAGGGAGCTCTGGTGGCCTCCTAGTAAGCAGCTGGTTGCCAACCCAAAGGCACATGGTTTGAATTCACCAGCTGCCCCTCAGGAGCAAGATGGGCAATCAATTCCAATAGGATACACTGCCTCTGAAAACCTGCTGGAGGATCAACTAGGAGTCACTGCTGACACAACAACAAGCTGAGCAAGCTAAATTCTTCCATTTGTTTTTCTAGTTCTTTGTGAATGGCTTTGGGCAGATTAACCCTTGCCTCCCTTACTTCTAATCTGTTTACAGAACTAGATAAAGGTCAAGTAGACAGTGTTGTTGTTACGGTGCCTTTGAGCCCCCCCCCCCCTAAACCCTGCTCTATCCATTGCCAATCTTATTGTCTCTGACACATCTACCCCCATTACCCAAGTCACTGAATCCATCTCATTGAGGGTCTTCCTCTCTTATGCTGTCCCTCCACCCTCCCAGGCATGATGTCCCTCTCCAAGTAGACAAGGGTTTCTTAAATTTGCATTCCTTAATCTAACCATGGATGTGTCCTATCTTCACATTTTTTTTAAATCTAAATGAGGAACAGATTATCTGAGAGGCTGGGTTATATGAGGAGAAATGTGGCATCAGGATGGGAGGTAGACTCATCAACAATCTCTGTTATGCAGATGACACAACTCTGCTGAAACTGAGGAGGACCTGAAGCACTTTATGCAGAGGGTCAAGGACTGCAGCCTTCAATATGAATTGAAGCTCAACATCATGAAGACAAAGATTCTCACTACTGTGCCAGTTGGCAGCATCATGATAGATGGTGAAGAGATTGAGATTGTTAACAGCTTCAGTTTGTTTGGCTCTACAATCAACATTCTTGGTACCAGCAGCCAGAAAATTAAGAGAAGAATTGCACTGGGGAAAGTTTGCTGTCAGAGACCTCTCCAAAGTACCGAAGAGCAGTGATATCAGTCTAGGGACTAAGGTGTGCCTGATCCAGGCCATAGTCTTTGCAATACTTGCAATGCGTCAGAAAGCTGGATGATGACTAAGGATGATAGAAGAAGAACTGATGTGGATCCCTTTGAGCTGTGGTGCTGGAGAAGAGTGTTGAATATACCATGAACTGCTAAGAGAACAAACAAGTTCATCCTGGAGAGGGTGAAGCCAGGCTGCTCCTTGGAGGTAAGGATTTTGAAGCTTCATCTGACATTCTTTGGACACCTTGCATGGCAGGATCAGTCCTTGGAAAGGGACATCATGCTTGGGAAGGTGGAGGAACAGTGCAAGAGAGGAAGACTCTCAATATGAGATGAATTGATTCAGTGACTTGGGTAATGGAGGTAGGTGTATCAGAGACAATAAGCTTGACAAGGGATAAAGCAAAGTTTAGGGCTATTGCACATAGGGTCACTATGAGTCACAGGCAACTCTCCGGCGCATAACAATAACAACAACCTAACAATGT